CTCAGGCAGTCCACTCACCTCAGCCTCCCAAAGCACGAGATTACAGGCTGAGCCACCAAGCCCGGCTGAGCCCTTGCTCTTGATTAGCATATTTCTTCCTTTGCCCTCTTCAGGGCCATCAAATTCAACCCCAGCCATGAATGTCTTTTATCTTACTTGGCTTACATAGGGCAGTAACCTTTTCTATGTAGATCCCAACTGAGAAGGTCACCCGTTCAGCAAATGCTGAGTGCCTATTCTCTGCTCTGCTGGCATTGCAGGTGGCACTGATGGGTACAGCAGGGTGCCTGCCTGTCCTCCACCTCCAGCTTCCTCATGACATCTGTCATGACACCAACACATTCTAAGACATCCTGGAGCTGCCTGCCCTCTCTTGCCCTTCTCATGCCCTCCCTGCCTAGACTACCTTGAGAGTATTGCTCCTTTTGTTCCAACCTGTTTCACAGGAGGTTTTCTCCTTCAGGGGAATGCTGTACAGCCTTGAAGCTTTTCACATTTGTCATCTTCAACAAATGGTTAAAGGAAGCTGAGAAAAAATGTTTGTCATTCCAATTGCACAGGAAATTATATTGGGAAAAATTATAAACAAATGCCTACTATTGGCCTTAATAAATTAGAAAGAAAAGAACAATAAACTGAAAGGAAGTAGGAAAGATTAAAAAGTGAATTAAATAAAGTCAAGAACATCAGGAACAAACATAAGGGAGAAATCTAAAGGCTGGTTCCTTGTAAAGACCAATGAAATAGATAAATTCCCTTTCAAAGGTAATCTAGGCTGGGCATGGTGGCTCACACCTAGAATCCTAGCGCTTTGGGGGCCCAAGACAGGAGGATCACTTGAGGCCAGGAGTTCAAGACCAGCCTGGGCAACATAGTAACACCCTATCTCTACTAAAAATTGAAAAATCAACTGGATGTGGTGGTGCTTGCCTGTAGTTCTAGCTACTTGGAAGTCTGAGGCAGAAGGATTGCCTGAGCCCAATCGGTCGAGGTTGCGATGACCAGGAGCGTGCCTTTGCACTCCAGCCTGGGCGACAGAGTGAGACTTCAACTAAAAAAAAAAAAATTTAGCCAGGCATGGTAGCATGTGCCTGTAGGTAGCATGTGTACTCACCAGCTGGCATGTTTTATTAAGTGGGATCTTGTAGTTAACATTTTGCTTATAAAACACGTAGCATGTGTACTCGGGAGGCTGAGATGGGAAGGTCACTTGAGACCAGGAGTTTTAGTCTGTAGTAAGCAATGATCATACCACTGCACTCCAGCCTGGTTGACAGAGTGAGACCCCCCTTCCATTGCAAAAAAATAAGACAGGGTTGGCGTGATGGCTTATCCCTGTCATCCTAGCACTTAGGGAGGCTGAGGCAAGAGAACTGCCTGAGCCCATGGGTTCGAGACCAGCCTGGGCAACTTGGCGAGGCCTCGTCTCTACAGTAAATAAAAAAATTAGCCAGGTGTGGTGGTTCTTGCCTGTAGTTCTAGCTACTTGAAAGGCTGAGGTGGAAGCATTGCCTGAGCCTAGCAGGTAGAGGCTGCTGTGGCTGTGAGCAGCGTGCCACTGCACTCCAGTCTGGGCAACAAAGTGAGACTCCCACTGAAAGAAAAAAAAGAGGATTGTCTCGGCCTGTAATCACAGCACTTTGGGAGGCTCAGGCGAGAGGATTGCCTGAACCCAGGGGTTTGAGACCAGCTTGGGCAACTTGGTGAGACCTCGTCTCTACAATAAATCACAATAAAAATTAGCTGGGCATTCTGGTGTGCATCTGTAGTTCCAGCTACTTGGAAGACTGAGGCGGAAGGATCCTCTATGTCTAGCAGGTCAAGGTTGTGGTGGCTATAAGTGTGCCACTGCACTCCAGCCTGGGCGACAAGAGAGACTCCAACTCAAACAAACAAAAAAAAGAAAGAAAGAAAGAAAATAAATTGAACCATGAGAACGTATTGCCTATTCAAGAATTAATTAAAATTTATTATGTATAAGGGGTTTTTAAAATTTATCAGAAAAAGGGTGAACATCCTGAGATGAAAATGGGTAAGTGCATATTGTGGTACGTCTATGCTGTGGAATACTTAGCAGCCACCATGACGTGGAAGGGAAAGTGAATCAAAATGTTAGTAGTGACTGTCTCTGGGTGTTGAGAAGACAGGTGTCACACTTGGTTTTTTTGCTTACAATATTCTTAATTTCCTGCAGTGACCCATTTCATGTTGGAGGATTTTTTTTTTTTGAGTTGGAGTCTCATTCTGTCGCCCAAGACTAGAGTGCAGTGGCCACTCCAGGCCACCGCAGCCTCGACCTGCTGGGCTCCGGCAAGCCTTCCGCCTCAGCCTTCCGAGTAGCTGGAATTACAGGCGCGTGCTACCACACCCGGCTGATTTTTTTTTTTTGG